CGGTCGCTGACGACGTCCGGCGGCAGGGGCTGGGCGAGCAGGCGCGCGACGGAGCGGGTCCACAAGGGGCTCCGGCGGAAGGCCGCGCAGCCCTCGGCGGAGCGGCAAAGGACGGCCGCGAAGTGCGCGGGGAAGACCACCTCGCGCGCGGTCTCGGCCGTCAGCAGCGGGATCCCCCCGGGGACGGGGAAGGCCGCCGGCCCCGCCGCGTAGTCCCGCGTCCGGCTCTCGGAGATGGTGCGGGTGTGGAGCCAGCGCCGGACGGGGCGGGGCGGGACGTGGAACTCCCCCATGATCTGCATGTTCAGCCGCGTGACGTACTCCACGGAGGCCGTTCGCTCCCAGTGCCGGAGCTCCTTCTCGACCCAGCCGTAGGACTGCAAAAAGGAAAAGCCGGAGGGGCGCGCGACGATGCGGTACGAAAGCGAGTCGAGATTCAGCGTCTTCGCGTTCTCGAGGATTAGCTCGTTCTCCATCAGCACAGTTGGGAAGAGGGAGATGAGATAATCGAGGCCTTCGTCGGAGAACATGCAGATGCTGAGGAGCTGCACAAATGCCCTTTTGACGATCTTCACGGAGTCATCATTCAGCGCCTGCACGAGCATCTCAATCCCCCACTTCATCGACGTCGACAGCTCATGCCAAACCACCGTTTTGAGAAGCTTTACCGCGCACAGTCGAATCGACTCGGAGGGGTTTCGGAGTGCCCCCCGGATGGTGTAGCGAATATCATTGCAAACGCCGTAGTTCGGGACGACGCCGATGTAAAGATATTGCAGAAGCTGATGGCATACCTCCTCCAAGGTATCCGTCGCCTCCGTTTCCCTCGAGCGAGACTCCTGGGGTTTACGAAATAAGCTGTCGATGATGAAAAAAAGCTCGCACTCCTGCATAAGAAGGAGACCATTCGCATAGGCCGAGAAACACCCCGCAATGCGCAGCAGCGCGTGGCCTACGCGCGAATTCACCCGCTCCTTCGTCAGGATCCGAGGATTGCCCGTGCGCACCTCCCGAAGCATCCCCGCCACCGCCGTGGGCATTTCTGCATTTTCCAGCAAAGCCGTACCATCGCGGGTGGAGAGCAGCAGACTCACAAGTTCAATCCCTAATAAACACATCGGTACACTAGCCTCTTCCGCATTCAGGGAAGAAAAGGGACGCACAAAAAAAAACTTTTGCCCATCGTGCGGGGTGTAAAAGCCAATGAGAATTTTCACCACGGGCGTCGCCATACGCAGGCGGCTCACGGCGTGCAGTGGGCCCTGCACAAACAACAACAGCAGGTCGAAGTTCCAAGTCCGGAAATCCGTCGGGTTCGACTCCACCCGAGTATCCCGCAGCCGGTTAAAGAAGGTCACGTCGTCCATATCGGACGACGCGATCATCGCGATCGGCGCCGTCGGCGGCGCCGCGCCGGATAGCGGGCTATTCACGACGACCCCCCCCTCCACCCACCCGCCCCCCCCGCGGCCTTTGCCGCCGTAGAAATGCCGCGATGTGAGGTTGCTCACGAAGGGATCGCCATTGCGGGTTAATCGGCCGAGGGCGCGGTTGAAGGCCTCGTGCAGCCCACCCGAGGTCTCCTGCGGGAGGACGGTATCCATGAGCACGCAAAGATCCTGCAGAAGCTGCGAGGCCATCTCCACCTCCAGGTGGCTCTTCCCGACCGTCTGCAGGACGTTAATCAGCGCGAGCGGGAGGCCGTGGTGGTTCAGCCCAATGAGGACGGTCCCAAGAAGGGGGTCCATGATGTGGTAGCCAAGCGCCTTCCGCGTCGGCACGTAGTTCTCATTCCCGTCCGACTCACTCACCATCACCATTCGCGGCGAGTTATCGCTGTTGAGGGAGGTTAAAAAGTCCCTCCCGGGGGAGCTAAACTTGGAATACATGCAGGTGCCGTTCGGGGAGGAGGACTCCCCGACATGGCGCCGATGACCCCCCTCAATCCCCGTCCATGGCTCCATCTTGGTGATCCCGCGGTGCGGCGCCAGAGTGACCAACACCTTGTTGAACAAGGTGAAGATCACCATCTTGCGATCGAGATCACTCGGCAGATGAAGTACCTCAATCAGCGCGCGAATAAACGTCGTTTCGAACATGATCCAAAAGACCCCTACCCATGTCGTCATGAACAACACAATCAAGTCCTTGGAGAGGTTCAACCGGGCCAACGTGTCAGGGCTACTCCCTGTCGTGGAGGTCTCCAAAAAAGGGGTAAAAAGCACCCCAATCTCGTTAAACTGAAGATACTTCTGCATCGCGGGATCGTCTAAAAGGTTAAGCAAGACCTTCACCACGGCGACGGACTCATCCGCGGTGGCCTCGCCTTTGGTAAGGCAGTTCTGCAAAAGGGCGTTGTGCAGTTGGACGGCGGTCGCCTGACCGGGCGAGGCCCTCAACAGCTGAATGGCGATGCGAATGGCCTGACTTTTATGTTTGGGCGGCAAATTCACGATGGGATCGTGTGGACTGATCAATGCCTCCAAACGGTAAAGCCAACCAAATGGGATATTCGGGTACGCCCCGGGGGTCTCCTCCCGAAGGGAAACCATCCGCTCCATTAAATTCAGCAGCGCACTGACCTCCGCGGAGATCTCGCGGTCCCCACACAGGCCGATCCAATGCAGCAACTCAGTGTCTTCGACGATTCGAGAGATGAAGTGTATATTCCCCGAACAAAGATACGCGATTCGCATGCCCAACAAACGATATAGCTGACTTACAGAAGACACCGCGTGTGAAACGACGCGTGCCCACACAAATGGCACCGGTAAGTCAAAGTACTTTTCATGTAGAAAGTAGAATTTTTCGACTAAAAAGCAAAAATCATTCATTCGCTCAGCCCGAGACATGCCCAATAGGGGCGCCGCTTGCGGTGGGGAAAAGGATGAAGGGGACGGTGTGTTAATGGAATTAGCAAGCCCCTTGTCCGGTGAATGGATCGGGGACGGTGACCTCGTATTATTTTCCTGCAACGCCCCCTGTGGATCCCTAGGTTGCATAACTTTCTCTGGATTCAAAGAGTGTAAGTCATTAAGAATAATCTTGTCATTACCATTGATGTTGGCGCGCTCGATTGCAGGAGACCCATCCGGGATATTTTTGACGGAATCAGAAGCGCCAAGTAAGTCTGTCTGATCTTCTAATTCATTACCAATTAGCTCTTGAGCAATTTCATAGGCAATACGGTTGAAATACTGACGAACAGAGGCTACGTATTCGGACCAGGCTTCCTCCAGTCGCACGTAAATCGCTTTTACGGCTGCAGCAAGATCCTCCTCCGATTCTTTTTCGGTTCGATTTTCCTCTTGAGTCTTTATTGCATTCAGCATATCCTCGGAATTGTAGTATTTCTCGGCCCTAGTAAAGTCCCTGACATCAACGCCGTAGCGCTTCAGAAGATCCATCGCTTCCGTGGATACGCCAGAGGTTATCATTGGGCCGCGTCTGTGCAGGACAAAAATAAGATACTAAGAGCAAAAAAATAAAAAAGATCAGCGGCCAAACACACAGCGCAATAAATATCAACAGTTCAATATGTAATATACTGTTCACTCAACGCTTTGCGTATAAAGTGAAAAGTGGAATAAAACTAGTGTGTGTATATATGTTTTTGCACATATTGAAGTGTCACCTACAGATAGAAAAAGTGCATCAAGAAGAAGAACTGTAGGATCATATTTTAAACTTAAAAAAGAGATATTTTTCAGATTATTATAATGATAAAATGTACTTAACGGTAGCCATAAGTTGTCCACTGTCTAGACAATCTATGCTCAACAATTAAATAAAAGGGCTACATGGACAAATTATTGAGCACGCAAAAATACACATATATGCCATTACCTCCCATAAAGCAATTGATAACCATGTCAGTGCAATGAAAAAAAGTCTAAGAAAGAGAAAGAATAAATGAACCCAACAATAAATGTACATGCACAATAGCAAAGGACGGCATCGTCATCAACACCACGGTGGCTTATAACACCATTTAACCCTGTCTTCCGAAAACGCCTGGCAAGGTAGCAGGCGACAGAGATACCCTGGAGAGCCCTCCCCCCCAGCTACGATGGCTAATCAACGAAGAGAACCTAGGTGCTTAACTCGGTTAAGCCCCACGATGCATTTGCCCCCTACCATCAAGGATGATACATCTTGTGAAGATTGGACAGTCCCGGTCAATGATGGCGTTTTCTGATCTAATCGCATGCCAAAAGGTCGACGCGCTGGGATGCCTTTGGAGGTTTGGGCTTGCTTCTCTGAGCGAGATTCCAGGTGTGAAGGCGCGGCGTACAAACGCCCACGCCGAAGAGTCCCAGTGCATGTTTTACTTCCATTTTTGGAGGTTCGTGGGAAGCCAGCAGGGGCGGTCGCTACGGATACCACACTGCTACTTGAAATGCTTGACTCCATCGACGAAGAGACGGTGCTCGCAAAGTAGTTGCTGCGGGTTGAGGCTAAGGAACGAGACATAATAGAGGCCCCGTGCCTTTCCACACGCTCTCGGCGTCGCTGCAGGCTGGAAATCACGCTATCCCATGAGATATGGGGCCGCATGAGGTACTCCAAGCAGGCCTCAACCGGTAAGTCATTCAGCTCCGATTCCTGGCACCCATTCAAAGGGGCCGCGGTCTCCGTCACTGTAAACCCCTTCTTTACAACCTCAGCACCAGCGCGCGTGTGGGTTGAAGTGGCAGAGTTCGACTCCCTTGGCTGCTTCGCCTCAGTTGAAGCGTTAGAGGTCGAAACCGGTTCAAGAATCTTGCGAGATACCGAAGCGGTGTCGGTTGCCACCTCCTTCGTCAGAGGGGGCAGTGATGCGGCAGTTCGGACGGAGGAATGCTTCTCTTCGGGCGTGGGCGAATAAATGATACGAAGAGGCTTCATTGGCAAAAGATACTAAAAACATTAAAAAAAGCTATCTGGAGAGAGAAGGTAACTGCACATAAAATTGTGAAAACGATATGGAAGTATATACATGTATATATATATATATACTCTAATATGCATATATAATGAATACAATAGTTTGCTTGGATTTCAATTTTAATCAATGTACTCGAAATCCCTGTGATAAAGGCAACGCTAGATGTACTAAGCTACGTGCAAATCGACATTTGTGTATTTTCACTTAACAAAAAAAAAGCATACTGCCCCTTAGGTCATCCACGAATACATATATATATATATATGTGTGTGTACATATATAATACAGTAATCGATCGTCTCTATGTCTCATTATTTTTAAAAATGTGTAGAATGTATCTTGTCTTCTCTATTAATGATCAACCAAAATGGGGTAGTTTTTTTGCAAAAATTCTGACATCGATGAAATTCGTCTGAAATGAACTCTTCGCCCGAAGGTACCTGTCTAAATTCTAATTAAATTTTGTCTCCCATAAGTTTAGCGCTTACTCATGTGCTTCTCGTATTCAAGTCGCATTAATTCCTCTTCAAGCGAAGGCGGGACGCCCACGCCGACGTCACCACCGGCACCCTCTCGGTTGGTACTGAACGTGGTATTCGGAAAGGACGAAACCTGCTGACGTTCCGTGGAAAAAATTGGCAAGCTTCGGACCGTGGCCAACGCCGACGGAGGTTGAAGACCCGGGGTGGGGGGGGTACGCCCCTTGACCTCTACCGGACTTTGCCCCGTATCGCCCTCACCAGCCGTCGCTGCCGCGGCGAAGGCGGTCACTCTAACGCGCACGATGGCATCCCGCAGCGCCGTCCGCGGGCCCTCGCCGGCGGCGCCGCCCGGCCGCCAGAGCGGCAGTTCATAATCGCGCACCACCCCTGGCCGCCCCAGCGCCTCGCCGCACTCGCCCAGGGCCATGGCCCAAACCCCACCCTTCCCCCCGGCGTCCTCGTCGAGGAAGACGAAGGTCAAGGGCTCACGCGCCAAACGCGCGAGTTGGGCCAACGACGTCACCGCGAAGACCGCCCCGTAGGGATGGCCCTCCCGCAGTGCGTAGGCCACAGTGTACTGCGGACAGGCCGGCGCGGGGAGTCGGACCTCCCGGCCTAGACAAGGCACCGCAAAGAAGCAGGACAGCCGCGGGATCGGGGTGGGCAAATCCGTCGGTAGCTCCACCCGAACCACATCGATGGCCAGGGCGCGGACCCTGTGATCGGGCCCCGGGGCGGCAGGGCCGGCCGAGGACAAAGAGGTCAGAAGGTGCTTGGCGATGTGCGCAAAGCCCCCTACGTCGCCCCCGGGATCCTCCACGCCCGGAAGGACGCTCCGGGACCGAGCCCGAGAAGGATCCGACTTCACCCCCGTACCGGGGGAGGACTGGGGAGGGCGTAAATCGATCCTTTCATCCTCGCGCCGTCGGTTGTGAGGGGATCGGCCTCGTGGGAGATCAGTGCGGTCGGTTGAAGAGGTACCGAAACGCGCCGCGGTGGCGCTCGAATCGTAGGACGATGGAAGGGATCCGGCCAGTGTGGCACTCGTTTCCGCGTTGGCGGGGATCAATTGCATTAAACCCCCTCGTCGTGGGGCCTGGGGGGGGTTGTTCGCCTCGGCGTCTCGGGAGAATCCAGAGGGGTCTCCCATGATTAAAACGGGCTGCCGCGTGAGGTAGTCCGTGGCGTGCGGAAGTGCCGGAGAGGTCGCCCTCGAAGGAGTGAATTCTCTGTTGGGTACTGCGGAGCGTTGTGGGCTCAGTGAGCCTCCGGGGGTGGTGAGCGTCATCCTCACAAGCTCCTTAAACCCCTCTGAAAAGGGTGTGCGCGCCGTCAAGAGGAACTCAACGGATGCGATATGCTTGTTATCGGAACGGATCAACTTAATATGACCCTTCAAGGTTGGTCTTACCGCGTTCAAACTCTCCTCGCGCGCGACCAGTTCTACTAGGCCTGTATATCCTTCCGCCACCGTCTCAAACAATCTCTCGACCATTTTTAACCCATCGTCGTCGCTACGCGCAATGGTGCTACCACGGGGATCATCCATGTCATGCCCTTTACTGACTAAACCTTCCAATGCTTCAGTATCATGGGCATCCAACATCGATGACACCTCATCATCACTACGGATGCGGTGCAGCTGCACCAGGAGTTGGCGAGTCTGCAAGTAGTAAAGCAAGAGCGCATCCATCGCAATACGGAACGATACTGTAGTGTCGAAGAAGCCATTAAAACCATGCACAGTAGGGGTGGTGACGGTCTCGTGCAGAAGAAAATCAACCGAACAAAAGACCTGAGAGAAGTCCTCCGGCACGGTGACCCCATCGGGAATCTCCGCCGCCACCAACTGGCCTAGGAACAGCTCTAGCACTGTCTCTGAAGCAGGAATGCTCTCGATCGTCGCGTTGGGGCTGATGTGGTAACCACGCAAAGAACGGACCTGAGATTCGAGGAACTGCACACGATCCAACTGCCGCGCCAGCAATGCCCTGCCTGCCACCTCACACGTCTCTATCTTCCTCTTCTCATCATCCATATGCTCCTTTTCTTTGTCGTGTCGGCTGGTAATTGCCTCGATGCGCGCCAAATGCATCTCGTTGGCCAAACGCAGCTGCTCGACTTCAGCCATAAGCATGGCGTTGGCCTCATATAGCTCATGAATACGATCCACGGTCGTTGTCGGGTCAATGGGCAACTCCTTCTCCAAACGCAATGCACTTGGTGTGGGTGGTTTGGGTGCGGCCCCTGTAAGAAGGGTAGTTAATTGCGTCGCCGCCCCTGCTTCGTCGTGGGGTCGCACGAAGGCAGAAATGGCTCGCGATTTAAACGTCTCAAGGATCTCCTCGGCCGATAGGTTATCCGTGTCTACGTCGTGATTGGGCCATACCACGGCGAGCTTAGCCTGGCATCGCTTGAGCGCCTCGTTGGCTTGGCGTAATTCTACACTGCGCATATCGCGTTGGGTTTTGGCCTCCTCACACTCCGCGCGGCATCGCTGGTGGTGCTGCGTGCGCTCCGCCACGTCCTTGTAGAGCAACTGTGAAAGATTCTCCCACTGCTGGGCGGTACGCCGTGCGTCCGTCAAATCCCCCTCCACCTCCTGGCGTGCAATGTGGAGGGCCTCCTCGGTGGAATGAGCGTATTCGGATAAGAGTTTGGCATGTTCGAGCTCGATGCGCGAGCGCTCCTCTTTCACCTGACGCAGCTGAGCTTCTAGAGTCTCGATCTGGCCTTTTCGAAACTGTCCCAGCTCCAACTCCCCGACCGCGACCAAGAGCCGCTTGCGCTCCCCAACGAGCTGTTGATTCAGACCCCTCAATTCCAACAAGAGGTTCTCATTCGTATTACGCTGTGAAGAAAGCGCGGACTCGGTAAGCGCCAACTTCGACTGCAGACTCATAACTTGCTGGTCCTTCGTCTTCGTGTCGGAAAGAAGCGCTCGAACATCCTTGCTGAGCAGATCATTGGCATCCGATCCAACAATCAACCGGCTCCGCAAGTCAGCAATCTGGTTCTCGAGAGAAAACCGAAGTTTTTGCTCCTCCCCGATGTGATTCTGCAGAGTCCGTTGAAGGTTGGTGACGCTCTCCTGCGATGTGGCCAGCTTCTGGGAGGCCAAATCACGCTCGCGAATAAGTTGATGGATCTGCTGTGCAAGATCTTCGATTCGGGCTTGGAAATTTGTGCATAACGAGCGGGAACTAGATAGTTCACGTTGAAGAGATTGAATCATAGTGGAAGACTCGTTGAGCTTACTCTGAAGCTCCTCGTTGGCATGGTAAAGAGCAGTGGCAATGACATAGTTACTGGCATTCTTCTCGGAACCCCAAATCATTGCAGGATCGGGCAACTTAGAAGCAGGACCTAACATGGGAACCGAATCACCTATAAAAGTTGTGCTGGTCGCCTTTGGATAATTGCCAGAAGGCACCAGCACGTCGCCTTCCTGAACGTGCGATTCAGATGCCTTATTTCGAATAGTCCCTGTCTTTGAAGGTCTATCCGGAACAGAAGTGTTGAGTCCCACAGGATTCTCAGGACCCAAAGAATTCAGAGATTTACTAGATTTATTAGCGAATGACGCCTTAGACTTGCGTTGTGCTACTTTTAGAAGTTTAAGCTCCTCTTCTTTTGAATTTAACAGCTTCCGGAGTTGTTGGTAACGCATATCTAAACTGAAATAAGAATCCTTCCAGTCTGCGCCTGGCGGCTGAGCCGAACGCGGCACGACAAGAGCCCCCCCTGGCATATGGGTCGTCAGAAAAATTCTACAAGATCAAGCAGATGATTAACAACTGCACTGAAATGTGTAGAGACCACAACCTACCGCTTTATTACGATCTCGCTTGTTTTTAGAATAAGAAAAGAGAGGCACGTTTGAATAGTGGTAAAAAAAAGAAGAGAAGCTCAGCACACTTCACACTTGAACATAATTATATGGATATATATATATATTTGTGGATAGACATAGACTTTCTTACTACACAAGATTAATGACCAAAAATCGGTAGAACACAGCAGTCTGCAAAAACAACACACGTGAAAATTTGGTTACTTTGGGGTCTGCCATAACATTTAATAATAGCGCATCCTTTGTAGGTCGATAAACGTCACCCAGACATTTTCAGCTTCTCCACCCGTTTTGTTTATCTGTGTATTTTGAAGTCAGCGATTAAAACGTTCACGAACGCTTTCGGAAACCTTTGCCCGGTCCTTTCCGTTTCGCAGGAGTTGTGCTAAACGCTTTTTTGCCGGGATGGGTTGAACCGATCCATTCTTCTCTTTTGCAATAACAGACGCCTCTTTAGCCTTTCTCAAAAAGTTATCCCACTTTCGATACTTTTTGTATTCAAGTCGGCGGTGGTACTCCTTCTCCACGGATTTGAGACGTTCGGCCTGCTTTAGTTCCGCAGATTTCACAACATCTTTAAGCGAATCAGGCAGCAGGTGCCGATCCACCGACCACTTCTTCTCAGCCAGTCGAGACGGTAATAGTCGAAATTTGGAGTCACTCAGCTCTTGGTAGCGGCCCATCTCGGGGTCACCAAAATGTCCAGTGGACAAGTTATACTCCTCCTGCTCAGAAAAGAGCACCCAGGGTGGGATCTCGTTCGGATCCTCCCCTACAGCGCCCTTAACCCCATCCCCCTTGGTATTCCCGGAACCTCCCACGATTTCCCCGGCGTCTTGACCCGGATGAGCAGCCCTCGTCTTGATTGGCTCTCGGTGCGGCTTTTCGGGAAAAACGCCAGCCTCGTCAGTGAGAAACCCCTGAGTGTGGTTAGCAATCCCCAGAACACGACTGGGGTTCTCACTCTCTGGGGGGTCAATCGGGGTGAAATCGTGCGCGGAAGCCGCCAAACTTGCCATGGATAAGATATTCTGCTCCCGGCGTAAATAGTCCTCGTCTTTCTGTTCTTTTCGCAGGTTCTCACGTCGGATGCGCTTTAGGTGCAGGTTAATCTCCTTGTCATCCACCACCTGTAGATTGTTGGTGCGCTGAGAAATAATGCGAAATGCCTCATAATTCTCGAGTGTTTGCCGCATTCCATCCTCCTCCTGCTGTTGGCGAAGGCGCGCCGGTGGGGTTGGGAATGGGTATTGTGTGGAAAAAGAACTTTCGTCTGAAGTCTCGACATCGCCGGGGGCCCCTTTTTTCTTTGTGAGGAGGATGGGTAAAAACATCGTCGCGTGCCACTGAACGGCATGAATGAGGGAAAGTGGCACCCGTCGACGCCAACGGAGCTGAAACTGGTAAGCATAGCGCCGCAGAAGACTTTCCGGAATCTCGTCAAGCTCTTGATTTTGCGACTTTCGCCATACAAGCATCAATTCAGGCTCTAATAAGCAAAGCCGTTCAAGGCGCTCGCTTGGTCTAGAACCTTTTGAATCGATCGAATCCTCATGACATCGAATCTTGAAAGGCTTCCGAATGTGTCCCCATGGAGTTAAAAGGATCTCAGGGCCAGAAGACAACTGTTCCTTCTCCTGTAAAGAAGGATCCGCCACAAAGTAGGCCTCATGGGGTGTGTTGTGCGGATTATCATTGGGTTGGTCCGCTGTGGAACTTTTTAATTCCTGCAGGTCCGCCGCAAGCAGCTTTTCCACAGATCGAAAGTAATAATTACGACGTGCCAACATGGCAGAAATGGCATGCTCGTTTACATTCTCCAAAATACGATGCACGAGTTGCGGCTTGCTTCCATGCCGCAGCTGCCGCTGCGAGGCGAGGTAGATTTGAAGCTCCTCCTCGTCTAACTTCAGCAGAGCCTCACGGAGAGTTTCAGCTTGGAACCCTTTAGCCAACTGATGTGGGCGATCACGAATTTTTTCTGCCATTTTCGCAGTGGCCCAGGCATCAGTTGGATTACGGATGTGCATCGTAGCTACCGTCTTCGCGGTAGAGGAAGAGGAGGTTGTGGTGGATGACGTCATGGAAGTGTGAAGATTCATCGTCGAAGACGGCGTCGATTCGGCACTGCCAAAAGCTAAAGGAGCGGATAAGGGTAGTTCCCCTTTGAGGTACTCCTCAAATTTTACAACGCACTTGCGATCGTCCTCGCGCTGTCGTGCCGATTCTATCTCCGCCAAGTATTCCGGGAAGGTCTCCATCGACTGCTCGATTTTGGCTTGAATATCATCCCGAAGATGAGTTCGGTGCTTTGCTGTTGCCTCCCTTAACGCCACATAAGTTTCGGGTAGTGGTTGAACATTGGACTCGATCATGCGTGAAAATAGTTTATAGGCCTGCCATTCAAGGCCAGCCCGGCCCATGATATTGATAAGAGACGTATACATCAACGCATCGGGCTCAATCCCACGACGAGTCATTATATTTAATTGGAGCAAGGCATCACGAGCAACCTCAAAGGACTCTTCCCTCGCTGACTCGGGCTGCGCGACGTGCGGGAAGGGTCGTTCATGAATAAAGCGAATGAAATGGTAGCAGGGGAGGGGGCGGTACGCCGCACAGGAAGGTACTACTACGCGCACAAAATGTCGCATTGGGCAAAGCTCATCTAGGATCATAAGCCAAATAAGAAGTAAAAACAGAGATAAAGGGAAAATATATAATAAATTCCAGTGATTAGGACAGAAAAAGAACCAATCTAAGCGCCAAGTCACACATGCATGGAAACATGTATATTAATCGTTGAAAAAAAAATAGTGTTTTCTCATAAACAATTTATGTCACACTTCTATCGTACAGGTATGATAAGTAAGTACTGTCGCCATCACTAGATCTTCTCGTTAACTAGGAATTTCCACTTGGAACTGTCTGTTTTTTTGTAGTTTATGGAAAAATATAAACACCATTTCCAAAGGGTGTCTTTTCCCCGATTGGAATCAGTAATCTAGTTGGTAATATTCAACTAATCGTGCAGCTTGTTCCATGAATTGTCTTACAAATTCAAAACCAGATATCGCCATTTGTCAAGCCTTAGCCCATATTGAAAAAGTTTATATATTATCCCCATTAACACCAATAAAAGTGGGCAATTGAAAAGTGATTCAATTGTTAGTCACTTATTCGGATGGGAAAATATCCCACTAAATTGAAGCTCGTGTTTGATTGTTCTTGTGCTTTTGAACCCAAAGCAACCTCTAAAAGGTGTGGAAATATACACTTGCGTTGTTTAAAAAACGGGGATCGACATAGTAATAACAGGATGTACTACCTCTATTAGAGCGTCA